GCCCTCTTGTCCTGCTGCTGATTGCCTGGGAGAAGAGACCGACCCCCACCTGGCTACAACCTCCTCTCAGGGAGTTGTAGAGAGTGATGAGGTCACCCCTGAGCCTCCTCTTCTCCACACTAAACAACCCCAGCTCCCTCAGCCTCTCCTCACAGCACTTGTGCTCCAGGCCCTTCCCCAGCCTGCTTGCTCTTCTCTGGACCTGCTCCAGCCCCTCCATGTCCTTCCTGACCTGAGGGGCCCAGAGCTGAACACAACACTCAAGGTGTGGCCTCACCAGTGTTGAGTACAGGGGAAGGATCACTGTCCTGCTCCTGCTGCCACCCTGTTCTTGATGCAGGCCAGGATCCATTGGCCTTCTTGGCCCCCTGGGCACACTCTGGCTCATGTTCAGCCTCCTGTCAATCAGCACCCTCAGATCCCTTCCTGCCTGGCTGCTCTCCAGCCACTCTGTCCCAACCTGGAGCTCTGCAGAGGTTGTTGTGGCCAAAGGGCAGGACCCGGCACTTGGCCTGGTTGAACCTCATCCCATTGCAATCAGACCATGGATCCAGCCTGTCCAGGTCCCTCTGCAGAGCCCTCCTGCCTTCCAGTTGATCGACATGCCCCCTCAGCTTAGTGTCATCTGCAAATTTACTAATGGCAGAGGAGGAACAGAGGGGGAACAGACGGGAAAGAGAGGGGGAATTGAGATGGAATAGAGAGGGAACGGAGGGGGATTTGGGTTGGGCAGTGGAGAAAGGACAGAGCAGGCAGGAAGGGAGGAAGGAGGGTGGGCCGGGGGGACAGGAACGAGTGCGTTACGGGGTGTTGGGGTATGTAATGGGGCAAGGCAAGGGGAGGGGGAGGCCGGGTGAGGGAAAGGAGGAGAATATGGGGGCTTTGATGTGGCTTTCTGTGACTTCCAGTCCAGGGTTGCCATTTTTAGTATGGCCTCAGATGACGTCCAGTCATGGTAGCACCATCTTTAGGGTGGATTTGGAAGACTTCCAGCCCAGGGCCGTCATCTTTTTGGGCGGCATTGGAGGACTTCTGGCCAGAGGGATGCCATCTTCTTGCAGGGAAATGCAGTACGGGGGGATAATTCTGCCACTCAATGACAAAGAACTTCTCCCTCAGACCACTGAAAAGACCCTCCAAAAGCCAAACTGCAGCATGTCAGGATGGGGCTTGGAGCAACCTGGGCTAGTGGAAGGTGTCACCACCCGTGGCAGGGGGTGGAACAAGGTGATCTTTAAGGTCCCTTCCCACCCAAACCCTTCCCGGAGTATGTAATTCTACTCAGGAAAGGGAAGACAGCAAAGAATTTTAAGCAGAGTTCTGCAGTGAGACAGCGGCAATTCCAAACTCCTGTTTCCTTCCAGAAAGGCCCTTTGGGAGCCTGGAGTGAAAGATAAGGGCAATAGACCAAGCAATCTGCTTCTGCCTCTGTCTCATCCTGGCTGCTGCTGCAGTGGCCAGGTGAGTCTGTGACCGTCACTCACCTCCATGCTGAGCCCCATCCTTAGCCCACCCAACACCATTCCCACTGCAGCCACCTGGATCCCATCCAGAGCCATCTCCTGTCCCTCGGCAGTCCTGCTGCAAGGACACGAGAAGCAGCGTTTCAGGGTGGCCCCTGAAATGCCTCTGGCACTGACGCCCACTTCTCAAAGAGCCCAGAAGGAGGGGAAGCCAGGTAAAAAAGGGAATTGGGTGAACAACCAGCAGGATTTGATCGTGGAGGATCTGGAAGAGCCCTGTGACGATGAGATCAAGTGAAACACTGTGACCCAGCAGAATGATTCAGGCCTGGCAGAGCTTATTTCTTATGAGCAAACCTCGTGCTCTGTGAGCTGAGCTGACAAAAATGCCAGGGGGGTGCTGCTTTGAAGGAGAGAGCGAGAAGCCCCAAAACAGACAAGCGATGACCAGCATCACACATGAAAATGCTGCAAAGAATTAACATACAAAATAGTTTATTTTCCACTCCAAGAGATCTTTCAGAATTACCAGAAACATGCTTTAAAACAGAAGACTGCCAGGTAAAGCATATATCCACCCCTCAAAAAGAGACGGAGACTTCTTCAGACAAAATGTGTTTCCTGATAAACACTGCTGAAGGTGAAAGTCCATTTAGATTTAATGCTACCCACATTTGGGTTTGCAGTTCAGTAAAAACCTTCTCTCCCACAGAAACTCCTCCCAGTAAAGAGCAGCTTTGCCTTAACAAGGACTTGAGGACTTTGCCTCATTAAAATATACCATGTACTGTTTCACTGTGCACAATACTGGGAAACCAGCTGAAACTCTAGTAGGCACCTTCCATCTCTCCTAAAAACCAGAGACAAGCAGTGCCTGAGGACACCCAAAGAATGTGAGCTACCGATTCCTGGCAGCAGAGATCTTCCTGCATTTGTATATGAAAGCCTCTGTCTTCCCAAGACTAACCCCATAGACACCATCTGGCACCAGAGACCCAAAACGCATCTGTCTGCTGCTGCAAAAGGATTCTCCACCACCACTCGCCACAGCGGAAGGATTCCCATCAATACTCGGGGCTTTGGCAGTGGCTGTTTCACCGGTGCCATCAGCAACGGCCTCAGGAGAGTCACTTCCAGCACACGTGGTCAAGCTGTCCATGCACTTGCGGAGATCTTGGCTCAGCAGCAATACCATGGTCCCTCCAACACGGATCACTCTGGCAATTGCGAGAAAGGCAGAAGTTAGGTGTTCATCCTACCTGGCATTCTTTTGCCTGTGCAGAACTCCACACTGCTGACACTTCAGGTGCCATTTGCACTCAATAAAACACCCGAGTGTCGTGATTCAACCCAGGAAGCTACACCTCCAAATGGAATTTAAATTCCCTATCTTCACGCCTCTTCTTAACGGGAGAAAACAGGGTGAAACGGGAGAAATGCCACCATTGTTGCATTTACACCAAACCCTAAGCATATCAAAGCCACACACATACCTTTCCATTTCCTGGAGAATATCTGGTAGAAGCTGGGCATCATTCCTAATCTTGAACTTCTTCCCAAACGGAATATCCGAAATCACAGCGTCAAAGCTTTCTGAAGGCAATGGCAGTGCTGCAGAACAAAGGCAGGTCTTTACCTCTGACTGTCTGAAAAGTGCAAAGCAGCTATGACCCCCTTCCCCTCAGAACACTTTGTTTGCCGGCTCTTATTGTGGGTTATGCACCCAGACTCACTGCTCCTTCTGCACTTGCCCTCACAAACAGCACTACCAGTCTGCAGACTGGGAAGAGACAAAAGCATGACAGCGTGGTTTAGTTTGCACCATTCCCTCTCACTGGCGATATGTTTGCCCCAACAGCAAGACTCTTTGAATAGGGCACTGCCTTGTTCCAAACTAACTGCTGCTTCTCAACACACAGTACATTGTAACTGTGAAAATAATTCAGTAAAATACAAAGGAAGCTTGTGAGCTTCTTCACTTAGCAGAGATGTTCCAATGCACACATATGAATGGCAAGGAACCACATTAAATTCCTCTTCAATCCCCTTTTGGCCCCCCAAGAATCTGCTTACAGCCCAGCACCACTTGGCATTCTGCCAGAGCTAGTGTCTTTGGAGTCTTCCCAGGGTTTCTGCATCCCAGGAACAGGCAGCTCTCCTGACCACGATGAAGCACCACAACCTGTGGTGATAACGATCAGCCACATACCAGGCTGTGCTGGCCAGAGCGTAGCCAGCATGTGAGAGTAGAAAACTACGGGTCCTCCATCCATCAGGGTGCTCAAAACTGATGGGACAAGGCCCTGAGCAATCTGACACAGCTTCAGAGTTAGCCCCAGTCTCAGAAGACAACAGGACCAAAGACCTCCAACAGTCCCTTCTCGCCTAAACCCTGCTGTGATTCTATGTCAACTTTTCCAGAACTAGCTGGAGATGTTTCCTGGACCGTCCTTCTAATCAACACTTGCAGCACAACAATTTTTATAACAATTTTATCTGCAAAAACAGAAGGACAAGTCACCCACAGCCCTCCTGAAGATGAGCAGAAATAACAGCTTTTAACGAGTAACAAAGACACCGATTACTTGTTCAATGTCGGAAAACCTGACACCTAAGTACTTTCCATTATCCTAGAAGCCAAACTCAAACACAGCTTTTAAGAAATAAACCTGTATTCATATAAAAATAAATAATATTTCTTATCTTCTTACCTTCGGGTAAGAAATACTGCAAGGGAAAAAAAAAATGCATATTTGATCACCCATGCACAGGGATTGCCTGTCATGAATTTCATACAGGGATAATTTAGCCTCAGATTTGATGTCCATAATATGGTCAAAGAACTATTCCCTTCTCTACAGACCAGGGTGTGGATTGAGAGCAGACTCCCTCTTACAGGAGAAAAGGCATCATCATGCTGACTTCATTCTTACCAAAGTTCCCAGGAGCAGACAGCAAGGTAGGGAGAACAAATAATTATCCTTTCACTAGCACTAGAGAGTCACTGCTCAGCTATTCGCTGGGAGTTGGCTCTACAGCATATCACCTCAAGAGGACCTAATTACCTGTATAATCCCAGAACCACAAAAAAGTTCTCTTTGAAACCCCATAGGCATACCTTTCACTGAAGCTTTAAGCAACTCAATCTTATTCATTAAGCCTGCAGTTCTAATATTCACATCTGCACCCTCTAACTGTGAATCACTTATATCAGCACCCCAGTAACAGGCTTCCTGTTCAGAGAGAGAGAGAAAAGTAAAATTTGTTAACACTCAGGTTATTTATTTTATAAACCATTCTCAGAATTGCCTTGTTGCACAGCTCTTGCAAGACAATCCCCTTGTGTACCATTACACAGAGCAACTCCCAACCTGGGAGGAATAGGATAAGTACGTGCTGCCTTCACTCCTTCGATGTTCTGGTCTGCTCAAGACACTTGTAACTTACAGAAATATCAAGGGTATGTCCTAACAGCAAGAGCCCAGGTGGCTACAGCCAGCTACGCTGCCTCTAATGCTGACAACGAACTGTACAGCCCCACTGACTCCTCCAGTCCTGCGAGAAGCCCAGGCAGCGTTAGAAAACCATGGCTGCCTCACACAAACCCCGCAGCGTGAACCCAGGGCTCACCAGTCTGTAGGACGTGGTTTCACATTCCTGTACAGGAATGTCTGTACTAACACCCTTTCAGCAGCTGCCCAGAAAGATCAGTTTGGCTTCACCTTTCCAGCGACGGACTCTGGCATAACCGACACAGAGAAAACTCTGTACCGTAACTACCAGCTGTCCTGCAAAGGCCCAGTCAGCTGCAGCCAGGATACTTACAGGCCACTCTCTGGCAGCCTCCAGCAGTATCGTTCCCAGCCCACACATGGGATCCAGCACAAAGGCACCAGCCTACAAAAACAAAGGGGTTATTGCATCCCAAGCAAGACAGACTCCTCCCTCAGGACAAAGGTTACTCAGGGATGTATATATTCCCACTGAATCCAGCACAGGTAATAATAATCGC